TAGCTGACTCAATATTTGTGTATTTAATTAGTATAATTACGCTTACACAGTATTACTTAGATGTAAAAAGGAATTCAAAAGAAGCCATCATTAGGCCTCCGACCAAAAGGAATAACCATTCCCTTAATCATTATTCTTAAAGACTCTTCATTAAATTCCTTTTATCTCTCCCGGGATATTTCCTTCGTTCAGCATCAATCACATTCACTCCAAAAAACTCGTTGGCTTTATTCTAAACTCTCATAATAGGTAATGAAGGTTTTGATCGTCGCGGGCGGCTGGTTGGGGCCGATTACTTTGAGAGCTAGTACAATGAGTGCACGGCTGTAACAATGCTAAATTTTGAAAAGTTCCTTAGTCTCCATCCATGCTAGATAGGGAGCTAATTACTGCGGAACTTTTGTCGATAGACACCTGCGCTAAGTCGTGACCGCCAGACAATGACAAAAGTTATCGCAGACTTATAGGCATGGTTGTATTGTCCAACGAAATTAAACTGAAATCACTGTAACAACATACGTTTTTCTTTGTAATTTTAGTTTTATTATTTACTACTCTGCTGGATCATAGAGCGTAAATATGGAACATCCACGTCATGACATACCTAGAACATAGTGACGTTATCAGGGACCCCTAGAATCGGTTTCATCAAAATGGTCAACTGGCTGCCTTCAAGAGTATGCAACTCACATATGTGGGGAAGCAATTTGCTGTCTTCTTTAATGCCTTGAAAGCCAGTGAAAGGTTTAAGTATCTGGTTTTGGCCAAGCGTCCAGCGTAAGGCTTATCCCCTGGTCAATCACTTTCTGAGCGAATGACCTCTCCGAATTGGTCGAGGCCTGCTCGTCTAAGTCTATGACGGTCAACGCCGGACTTCGTTTTCTCCGCAATCTTCGTCTTGTTGTATCAATAATCTACTTATGCCCGGCATATATGGATATTCAGCTGACAGCAAAGTTGGGAATTCCAGCCGAACGCTAGAGCCAGTAGGAATCAAATCCAAACCGAAAAGAAACACTATGGCACAATGTGTTAATTTCTTTCTGTAAGTAGATAGAAGCAAATGGAGCGATGCCAGTCTTATGAGATTCAAAAACACAAGCGCGATTATCTTTGCAGTACATAGACCACCTTCAGATATTGCTGGATAAGATTTCTTCAACGCTCAACTTTGGGCGGTTCATTAAGTTCAAGGCCAAAGCAGCTGGAAACTAGGTGCTTTGCAAACGTGCGGAGGTACTTTATGCCAGGAAAGCTCCTTACACTGCAAGGAGTGTTGCTGTTACATATTGTCTGATGCTGCAAAATGTTTCATAGCAGAGTTGTACTCAGTGGAAAGGTGTGCTAAAATGCTTGTTAGTGGCCTTGATTTGGTTGAAACTAATCTTTTGAGGCTCGGGCACCGAAAACTCATCTTTTTTGTACCCTATGTGGAGAGTGTGCACAGAAATTTCAAGATTTAATGCTTCCCGTCCCTTCCCACCACGCACAACCAGATGCACCGCGGGTCTCCACACCTTTGTTATCGATAATCCATGCATTCAAACCCGACGGTTTGCTTCGTTTGCCGTAATACGAACTGCAAATAATTGGAGTGATTTGCCGGCGTCTGTCTTTCCGTCCGATTACGATCAGGGTGTATTCAAAGCAAGAGTGAATAGACTTTTGTTACACTAAGCCAGTGCGAGTTACTGGCTAGGGCTTCAATCAGCTTACGAACAGGTGGGATTATAGTCAAGCACTGGCTAAATATCACTAAAAAAAAAACAAAGGCAACCATAAAGACTGCCAACAGAAGTGAAAACTCAATGATATATGCGTATACATGTACACAGGCCGCTATACTACACGTAGTAGACATGCGCTTGTGCGCTGTACATCACGAGCATGTCGGGGTCATCGGTGACGCGAACGCATACGTTTTTCTCCTACCAAAAATCGCTCCAAGTGGCTAAAGGAGTTTTCACTTCAAAAATTAGTATATATTAACTATTTAATTCATTAAAGGCAAAATAAATTTCTAAATGAGGATATAGTTACTATCTATTCAGTCATTCAGTAAATAATAAACAAAGTCTCTTATCCGCATCTCTCTGTATATTTCCTAACATTAAAACTACTAAATCCATTGCTTTTTATGCGGTTTAAACCATCATTGTTTAAAGAATTTCTTGTGGAAGTTGTATTTCTACATGTTTTAGGTAAAGATAGTAGAGTAATGTTGACGTTTTTGTTCCAAGTCGTAAAAAGATAATAAATAGCACCCGTGCGAAGCTGAGTCGAGTCAATAGTAATCTTTTATTTTTATTTTTTGTTTATTTATTTTTTTCATAGATCATATATCACAAGGAAAAATTTTTTCAAGTGATGGTTCCGTATACATCTGCAATCAACTTCAAACGAAGAAGCCTGTAATAATAATGACTGTATACCCTTCAGAACGCAACAGAGCAGTGTAAGCAATGTTTTTGGCCGCAGAAATAAGTACGAATACTTAACCTACCCAGACGAATATCTAGTACGTAGTAGTACTATTATTTATTCTGTGCTTCTAGGCAGAAAAGGAATATAGCCACCTAGTAAATCACATGTTTAATATAAACTTAAACCACCAAACAATGAAATGCACTTTAATTAGTGTATACATTTGTTTGCTTACGAATTTAAATACTAACAGCATTATAAGCATGATCAAATACGACGTAATATTCTTTAAAAAAATCTTTAAAATCTATACATAAATATAATTGAAGTGTCTGTCTATTATAACGTAATAATTGCCTTCTGTTAAGAGGTCTATTTGCTTGCAAAATGAAAAAAAATGTGTCGGCCTGTTTATCCGGCCTAATCTTCGTAATGGCTGCACTGATTGTGTAGTTACTTCACGAACAGATAGATGGCAATACCAGGAAAGAAATAGGCTATATTTTATCCCAAAAAACAGACTTGATTCATTTAAAATCGAAATAAAATAAGTGACTTTTGATGATTATCTCAAAAAAACTATGGGTATACGAGTATATTAAATGAAATAAAGTTAAAATTGTAATTTTACCCAAAAAAATTGCTTACACTTTATCTTCCATTTCTTTAGTTCTGCTGATTTGACAACATTTTACAACTAACTACACTGAAAGTTGAAGGTAAAGGTTATACGATATTTTTACGTGAATTTAATAGACTCAATTTTTAAATAAAACGTTTTCCCATATCGCACATAGTTTTTGTGATAATAGCAAAAAAAAGCGGCCAAGTGCGTGCCCATGAAGAGTTCCGTAGCACCAAGTAACGTAATTAACGATTTATGACGTATTAAAAAAAACTACTTACTAGATCTCGTCCAAACCAATTTTCGGTGGAAGTTAACATGGTAATGTACATCATATATATTTTTTTTAGTTTTATCGTTCTCTTAATTTAGAAGTTACAGGGGGGACACATATTTTACCACTTTGGAACTGTCTCTCGCGCAAACTATTCAGTTTAGAAAAAAATAATATAAAAAACCTCAATATCATTTTTGAAGACCTAACCATATATACCCCACACGTATGGGTTGAAATGGTGATGAAAAAAAATTTTTGAGTATCAGTTGTAAGGGGAACATCCAAAATTTAGTGTTTTTTTTTCTATTTTTGTATGAAAATCTTAATGCGGTTCACAGAATACATCTACTTACCAATTTTCAACAGCATAGTTCTTATAGTTTCGGAAAAAAGTGGCTGTGACATACGGACGGACAGACAGACAGACAGACATGACGAATCCATAAGGGTTCCGGTTTTTGCCATTTGGCCACGTAACCCTAAAAACTCAGTGTTAACTGGTTTTTGGACAATGAGGCCTAGTAATCTTCCGTTCACCAGACGTCGCTAATTGATACTGAGGTGAAGTTTTTTGTTACACAAGGTCATTTAATTGGGAATTCAGTTTTAAATTAAAGTTAATCAGTTTCTAGAGTACTACATTAATTTCCGAAATAATGGCTTAGTGGTTTGCTCTTTAATTGTTTGCATATTTACAACACTATTTTTATTTTTTCTACTTTTAAATATCTGTGGTTTGGCTTATTTATTTTTAATCTAATTAATATAAAATATAATTAATGGTACAGAAAAAAACATTAACCTTTACATTTTTCGAACAAATTAACTTTCCCGCTAAGATATCTGTCAAATATTACACCTTATTTTTAAGCGTCGCCCTGATGATAGAAAAAGTCGTGAATGCCCTCATTGAACTATACTTGCCAAAATACCACCAATACAAAGCTGCGGGCAAATGTTAATTATTAATATTTTAATTTTAAACCTCCAGCAGTCAAGTATACGAAGGTTTATTTTTTTTAAATTTGTTAGAACGAATGGTGATTCAATATAATTCGCGATGTATAAACTTAAATTAAATGTAGCGGTTTGAAACAATTTTGCCACGTTTACCAATTAACGCTGCTTTACAACAACTGAAACATGAAGTCGCAAATTTAGACTACCCGTACGCTTTTCCATGAAATTCTGTGGAAATTAAATTTCTGGTGAGAAGTTGACGGAGTTTACGTCCTTAGATATGACATGTTGCGTGAAGTGCTGATGGGGCATATGACATCACATTATAGCTGAAATAACAGTAATGTGTCTGAGAGCGATATTGTTCATTCGTGCGAAACTTGCGTTAAGCCGTCTAACAATAATAATTTTCTAACATTTTTATATCACATTTACTGTACCTTATGTTGTTACTATTCTTCTAATCTATAGCTTTCATGTTATAGTGGAATCAGGAAATCCAAACCAAAAAATTATGCGCACAATTATTAAGAACATAAATATTTAAACGGAATAATAAAAGAACACATTTTTATTAATAAAAGCACAAAACTTTAACTTTAATGATTTATGTTATTATATTTGTATATTTATATGTTAATGATGAATACAGCCTCACTAATGTAACAGAAAGGAAATATATCACTGCTAATTAAATTAAGTAGTTTCACTTACCGGTCCAAACTGTTCGAAGTAATTCTTTACATCCTCAAGCGTTGTGGGTGCTGAAAGCCCTCCTACGAAGATTTTCTTTGTCCTGGTCACCATCTGTAATTAGTTTATACAATTAGTTGATCTCGTAAATGGTATGTAGTCATTCAATATCCTAATTACTTTACGTCACACAAGCATCAACAACCTTTTAAAGTTTACAGCCATAGGTATGAAATACTCAAAAGATTCATCGTTACTAACTCCTTTGAGTAGTTGTGTTGGTGAGAGCTGAGTTAAGCAGCTTTTTCTTACTTATTATTAGTCAGTACTTGGTTATAATCCCACCTAGTTGTAGGTGGCATTTGTCCCTAGTGTTTATTTACGCTATTTTAGCGTTATAAAGACTATCCATCATCTGTTTATTAACTTTGGGTTGAGAGTTTCTGGATGAGAATTTTTTATCAGTCAATCGTCAAAGCCATGTCCATATACAATAGAGAATACCATCACCTGCATATAATGTTTGCACGTAGTCAAAAATGTACGCACGTATTCCACCTTATAAATATATTTAAGCCCTATATAAAATTATTTTAGACATGTATAATGAATTCAATAACAAAAAATAAACGCTATATAATGTTTAACGTAAATATGATTACAGTGAAGTGGGAGAAAAGCACAGTGTGCGGTGGAAATGTAGGAATAATTATCATTAATATATTATGCATTCCTCCCGCTAAAAGATTTCCTCGGATATTCTTCAAAAAAAAAACATATTAAGTACCGAATCAGTTATTTTGTAGTTATCTCTGCCTAAATCTTTCTGGTATTACTCATAATTAGAATTATTTTATGAGTTCCATAACAAAGTAAGCTTCTAAATTTTAAAGAGTTTTAATTTAAAATAGTTCCCTACATACTCTACATATATAGTACTCGTAGTACATCAGTATAACGAAAACTTATTTTAACTTTTAACCAAAATTCAGTATTTTTAATGTTTAATGCTGCTTATAACGAAACCAAAATAAGTCCGCGTTGGATTAAAAACAACTAAATTTTTTGACGGCTCATTGGCACAGTGCATTATAGCATTGAGTTGCCGCTGGGGCCCGCGGGTTCGAATCCCGTACGGAACAAGTATTTGTTTGGCCTAAAAATAATTGTTCCGGGTGTTTATCTTTGTGAAATTTATGAATGTAAACTATCCCATGATACAGGAGAAACACATAGTGTTAGTCCTCTAATACCCTTAAAAAAAAGAAAAGAAAAACAAGTTACTGGATAGATGAAGCTCTCTTTATATAATGAATTCAATAGATACAACAACTTTTCGGATGTTACGCGTACATAGTGATAGGCTCATCGAATATTATAGGCCTCCCAAATATACATCAACTAATCGACAAATTCATTAATAAAATCTAAACTCACGAAGCATCGGAAATTATAAAGTTTCACTGTATTGGTTAAGAAATATATTAAGTATTTAGGTATACAGGGTTACTTTGCAATAAACAGCCAAATTTAAAAAGAAGGTTCAGAATAAGTAATAAAGGCAATGGTGAAAAAAAAATTTATCTTTTAAATACAAAATGCGTGTTAATGCATTTTGTTTATATCTTAACTGATTTTACTGGGCACGCACACATTTGCAAGGGTCGATCGGTAGGCTAAAAGGTTGTTGCCCATAAATCACATTCAATTATTTACTATTATTTTCAAAAACTGCATCAACAGTATTTCATTATTTATATATTTGAACTTAATTTAAAATTTAGCTACTCTTTGAAAAATAACCCTGTATAAAACTATTTTAAGTAACAACTCCTTTTAAAAATTATGATTATGTTTTTCGACTACCACACGGGCGACGGCGCGGGCATAAGCTAGTACAATGTAAACGCTTAATTTTTAAAACATTTTAAAAGTAAGTAACTATAACGAAATTCTAACCTTCGAAATCATAAATAGGTGTGACATATTATTGGTTTTGTCCCATTATTATAAGTGGAGGAAGATAAACTATTTTGTGTAGAAATTGAATAAAATAAGATTCGTAAGTCTAATGTAGGTAATATAAGTGAGTAAGTGGGTCCGGACTTCAGCGACGTTCCCAAACGAAATCACACTCAAAATATACGTAAATGATGAATAAGTGGCATGGCGGTGCGGAAAGAGGGGTCGCTACGTGTCCAAGTGGCGTACTACCTCCCCTCTACACAGGCCTCCTACCTTTCCCCGTGAATCTCGAGCGCGACGACATTGCCCAGCTCCCTCTGTCACGTCTCTTTTAATCGAGGTGTCTTTCAGCTCTTAACTTTTCTATGTTACACCTCATTAAAACTTACCAATTAGGAAACTCCCTAGTTTTTTTTTAAGAAAATTGTGATAAACTCTTTATGCCTATTTAAATTTTAATTAAAATGTTTAACAGAACGCCGAATAAAAGAATTAATAACAAACACAGAACTCAAATGAATATTAATTTCAGGCCGTTAATAAATTTTACTACCGCAAACAATATGGGGAAAATAAATAAAAATTTAATAAGAGGCATTCATTAATGGGATTGTAAAGGGTGGCCCCGTGGGAGCGAGTGTCAGGTTAGCCGGTAGCCACGTCAGCCGAAACTGTTGGCAATTACCTTAAATGTGGACAACGCAGTACAATCCACGGGGAAAATCATTATTCACTGCATATCCAATTTTTGTTTTGTTCAAAATTTAAGTTACTACCTGTGATTGCCTGAATTAATTATTGCTGTAGCTGCTGTCAGTTGACGTTATTAAATAACAGTACCTGGTAGACCAAGTCTCGCTCAGCGTTAGTATTATTTTATTAATTTATGGAAAAACGAATTTTCGCAGAAATAATAACATATACTTTATGAGTGCTATACTTGAAAAGTAAAACGTTATCTTAACACAAAATTTAATCCAGATAGTTTGAGCCGTTGTCGAAAAGAATAGCTTGCTTAAAATATAAGAATTCATTAATATTTTAAGATTCGTGATGGTTTTAAATATGTACAGTTTTAAATATGTACAGTTTCTGTTTCTGTTTCTGTACAGTGATAATGATTAATATTTTTAATCCAATAAAGTCAATTACTTAGTGATTCATGGCCATTTTTTTTTATAATTATTATTTAGATTTCATATTTTATTATTAAAGCTTGACATGACTTATTAATTGAAACTTTTTCCTTCGCTCATTGCAATCTAATAGGATAAAACGCAAAGTTGTCAATTAAGCTGTAAAAAAGGTTGTACTCAAAATATTTCTGCGTATTATAATCTATATTATATCTGCATTAAAATCGAGACGGACTCGTGCTAGAAAGCGTAGACAGGACAACCGTGTTTAGGAGTGGACTTAGATAAATTTAAAGCTGTGGTAGTTAGGGTTAGTTACCCGTATATATCTTAATAGTAATGCGCTACCTAGAGGTAAAAATCTGTGAAATGAAAAAAATGACAATATAGTTTGGCAACATGCATTATCACTCTTTCGCACTCTAAAACTCTCTTAGAATGATAGAAGGCTTCTGCCAGCAATAGGAGGTTGATAGTCGGTTAATACTATTTCTTTTAAATGGACTACAGTTTTAAGAAAGCCAAAAGTAAATAATTTGCCTAATTTTTGGGTATACATTTCATTGTAAAAATAAGTATAGATAATTACGGTAATATAAATAGAATCCATGGACGTGTTACAACGAATACTATTGTTATAATAAACGATGGAATTCAACAGTACAATGTAAAACCTAATTTCAAATATTTTAAACTCATAGTAGCTCTTCATACAGGTGACGTTCATCATAATATGAACAAATAAATTATTCGTCCACTCAGTAACGACTGACCGGGACATGAAGTCATTTCGTTGTCAAAAATATAACAATTTAATTTAGTCTAACTTCAACACGGGTAAAGGCAAACACCGAACGGCCACAGCACAACAAAAAGTTACGCACATCAATTACAACTCCGCGTCCAGCGGACGTCAGTGTCCCTTTACGCGACAAACAGGCTCGCAAGTTACTCTAACTCAATTCATAATACGCCAGCGCCGTGCTGCATGTTACGTTGTTGAATTTTTTACACTTCCACGTGAACGCAGTGCTGTTATAACACGATACAATTTCGCTGCCGGAAAAATGAAACCATTATATTTTGTCACGTTGAGTTTACAATTTATTTGAATCGTTTAAATGTCATATTAGTTATATTATATATGCAATAGGTATTTATTGCAATAATTATATATATATATATATATATATATATATATATATATATATATATATATATATATATATATATATATATATATATATTCATCATCATCATCATTACAGCTTTTCATAAGTCCACTGCTGGACATAGGCCTCCCCCAAGGAATGCCACAAAGCACGGTCCTGAGCCACATGCATCCATCGACTACCTGCATGTCTTACCAGGTCGTCACTCCATCTCGTGGGGGGTCGCCCTACACTTCGCCTACCGTTACGAGGCTGCCACTCAAGAACCTTTCTTCCCCATCGGTTGTCGGTTCTTCGAGCTATATGGCCGGCATACTGCCACTTCAGCTTACTAATCCGTTATATATATATACCTATATATATAATAATTATTATTTAATATTATATATTATTATTATTTAATGTTTCCATAATTTATATTTTTTTCTTGTATGTATTATTGGAACGTAGGCGAATATATTTTGTTTATTTACAATATATGACTTTTAATTGTTTCATTCTCTCAGGGTTGACTGGTAGAGAATGCCATTAGGCATTAAGTGCGCCCATTGTAAGCCTAAGATTAAGGTGTAACACACAAAAGATTAATTAAATATTATGCGTGTAAGGATCATAAGCTAGTGCTTTTTTACAAAATCACCAAATGGAAAGTGGTGATGCAATCATCGGTGGTAAAACGAACTCGCTTTGTAAAAACGTACCTACGTACTGAATCATTTCTTGAACACACATAAATATAATTCGGACGGAAAGACTGATGCAGGCAAATTATTAAAATCATTAGCTGTATATATTATAAATGACAAAACCAGATGTTTCAAACCTTAATAGGTATATATTA